TAGGGTTCAGCTTCTATTATAAAAACAAATGCTTGTTCTTTCTTGAGAACAGAATATATGTACAAGGTTGTGAAAGCCTTTGATAAGAACGGCCCATCTGTTCAGAAATCTATAATTTAGTTTTGAGCGCTCAGGGACCTAGCCTAAACCCTAAACCCCAAACTCCGAGACCCAAAGCCATTTTCGTGGTTTTCCCAGGCAGTCCAGATCCACGTATGGAGAGAAGATGTACCGATACATCCGGTAGATGTCATACGCAAATTCCTCGGTAGGATACAGCTGGCTTAGGATTCGGGAGTTCAGATTCTGAATAGTAGTAGTATTCAATATGCGGAGCCCTCAAACAGTTGCGGCCCCACTTACGAAGGGGCTTTATTAAGTCTTTGGATGTTGGGCCTATGGGGTCCTTCTGTGTTTGCAGACATTCGGGGCCATATAGATAAGGCCTCTAGGATTTGCACAGAGTTTAGGACCGTAACCTTCGTCTTCCACGCACATGCGGAGGCCACAGAGATTCCGCGTGAATCCTGCAGTACAATACTATCACCACCGCTGCGCCAAAAGGTTTTACAGACACGGACAAAAGACACCAAATCGTATCTAGCATCCAGGGCATTGCTGGTTGCGGTCAAAAAGCCCGAACGCCGTGAATCGTAAACATCTCATCTCTAGAAAAATCCCTAAACGCAAACTCCTTAATTTCGACGGCCGCGCCGGCGTTAATCCCGCAGAGTTTTGATTTAGAGAACCCAAGAACAACATGTTCTGCTATAGCTCAGCAAACCGAAGTCTTCTCGCCTTTTCAAGCCCTAAGCCCTAAACCCTAAACCCTGAACCCTAAACCCTAAACCCTGAACCCTGACCCTGAGCCCAGAACCCTAAACTTTAAACCCTAAATCCTAGATGCTAAACCCTGAAGAGTTTAGGGACCCAGGGAGTTGGAGACTTGGGGTTTGCTGGGCCGCCAGCTCTGTCGAAGACCGAGGGCGCCGGCATGGGCAGCCACCTGTTGCATTTAATACGGTTGATGGACAAAATCCTGCATGACCTTGTATGCCTAAACTATGGGCTTTATGGTACTATTTGGGTCATGCAGAATTTTGTCCATCAACAGTATGATATAATATTATGACATATTTCAGTGTATTCTGGTCTATATCTATATTGCATCATACTAAGGGTATTGACCCATTAGATTAACAGTATATTGTTCTAATATTAAATACTGCAAACCCTCATAACTCAACGGAATGTACGCCTACATTGTGCAGCAAAAACAATATCACAACTTCCAAAGAACACAGCTCTGTAATCACTCCAAAAAAAAGTAAACCGCATGACCCCGACCACTGAAATCTACATTCGCCTAGGCCCAGAAGCAGGGGAGACGCAATGCAAGGCTGATGCCTTTCCCCGATCGGTGGGAAGCTTAACACTCTGAGCTGTAAGCCGTAACCCCAAACCGGAAGATGCTGAACAGCATTAGCCCGTAAAGCAAACATGCAACGACTACAAGGCCCTTCAAGTTGTATAGAGTTTGTCGAGGCGAAGATAAAAACCATGCACAGCCCTAAACCCTATACACCTTAAACCCTATACACCTTACGGGAAGGCATTCTTGTTCTTTAGGGAATCCCAAGGCCGGGGCTCATTGGATGAGTTCCGCGCATACCGCCTGGCTCCAGGTCTTTGGTTTTCGTAGGTAGTATTATTAGGGGTACCCCTTAAAGGGTACCCCTTCTGAACCCTACTTGTGGCTCTCTTAAAAGGGACCTTATTGAGAGGGTCTATATACCCAAGGGTCCCCCTAATCCCAACTCCCATTTCGGATGCGGAAGAGGGTGGACAAAAAGGCGTCCTCAATAAGATAAACACTGTTTGGGCTTGGGGGTGCGGGGTATTTTTTGCTACGAGATCTTAGGGACTTCAAGGGGACGTTACAGAGGACGATGGGGGGGTTTACTTTTGGGAACATATAGTTTAGGATTTAGGGTTTAATCTTTGGGAACAGGCAGTTTGCAGAAGTTGCAGGCATAGAGAGTTGCTGAAGTCAACGTTGAGGGTTTAATTTTGGTAAGAAATATATAGTTTTAATAAGTTATGTACAAGCCTGGAGCTCAGTGACATATGTAGCCCCGATACTTTCATGCTCCAGTTAAGCCTCATCCTGAGGCAAGTTGGCAAGTAGCATACTAACAGCTCCTGGAATGCTGAAGCCATTTCGCAGACCCCCCCCCGCTCAACCCTGCAACCCTGCCCAACAAAAGAAAACCTAGCATCGCAAGCGCCAACAAAAACTGAGCAATGCAGCTTATTCTGATAACCCTGAATCAACAGCCTAAGGTATAGCAAAATCTGCCGGAAAATATCATGCGCTTGGTCCCCGGCGCAGTCACGTGCTGATCGGGCATCATCATGCCATACATCACCGGCGTGTTGACAATGAACACCTTGTTTCGACATCCATGGCTTCAGAATTGGAGAATTGGAGGGTTCCGAGGTCCATCAATCCTTGGGGATGCAGGATTTGAGAGCCTCGTGCAATCTCAGCCTGTGACTCATCCGAGCGACACCAAAGGCACGGATGCTGACATGTCACGACTGTACACGTGTAACAAACTACTTCCAAAATTCTCTTGTATTCCAAATTCCAAAAAAGGTTCCTTCCTAACCAATATAAAAAGACCCTACTGAGCTGTACAAAACTTCTGTCAGAGTCACTTGGCCCTGAGCCCCAATCGCTACACCCGTAAGAGCTTAAGATTTCTTCAAATTCCACTGGGAAGAGACGATATCGTCCCAAGAAGGTTGTACGGTTTAGGGTTTAGGGTTTAGGGTTTAGGGTTGGGACTCGCTTGCTTCAAGAACTCGCTCTCAGCTGCGCGCCGAGAACTCTGGCATCCCGGTCCGGAGACCCCCTGGCACCAGCTTGAGGCTTCGAAGGGTTCTCTTGAGAGCTAAGGCCACACTCCGCAGGTCTAGTAGCCCAAAACCAACCACCTTAAAGCCCCGAATGCTGAACTTCACCGCGGCGTTTGTTGGGCCCGAACTTCAAACGCACGACCGAAAATCCGACACCCCAAGGCCCTGAATGGAACGAATTCAAGCGCCAAGCCTGAACATCCCTTAACCTAAAACCCCTAACCGGAAGGTCCCCAACTGTGATCGCGCTGCACAGGGTTGTAGTTCTGGGGCCCTTAAAGGAATTTCTGAGTGGGTACCTCCATAAGAATTATAAGGGAACTTTGAAAGTTTGCCAAAGTGTCACCTAGTGAAGTCTAAACCATTACGCGATTACTTAATATAGGGGCCTTAATAATCAGAATAGGGCTTGGGGGTTATACTATACTATAGGTAATATAATAATAAGGAACCCCAAAACCGTGTTCAATTTATAAAGGCCCCTAAACCCTAAACCCTTATAGAACCCTTTAAGGATCCCTTAAAGGAGCCCCCAAAACCCTATTCAAATTATTAAGGCCCCTATTACTCGTTATCATTATAGTTTAATAGAACCCAAAACCCTACTGAAATTATTAGTATAAGGCTCCTTTACATTTGACCCTTATAGTGAAGTCTGAGCCAGACTGAACCATTGCTCGCTCACTTACGGCCTTCCAGTCCCTGGAGTCCCCTAAACCCTAAACCCCAATCCTAAACCCTAAACCCTAAACCCCTAAACCCTAAACCCCAAACCCTAAACCCTAACCCTAAACCCTAAACCACTAGACCCTATATAAATCCTTTAAGGCCCCTTTTTGTTATGGCCTTCCAGTCCCTGGAGTCCTTGGGCCACGGTGAAGTAAGGCATAGGCCTGCCACGGATTCTGGGAGCCGAGAAGGCACGGGTTTGGGCGGAGGGTTTAGGGCCTTAGGGTCTTAGGGCCTTAGCTGAGGGTTAAGGGTTTAGAGTGAGGGTTTAGGGTTTAGGGTTTAAGGTTCAGGGCTTTGGGTTTACAGGGTAGTGACTCTGTCTACGGCATTCGGGAAATCTCTTTGGAGCTTTCTCAGGCTTTAAATATAGGGTTTCAGGTTTGATCTTTTGTTCCCAGACCTGCAGGTTTGCCGTCTCGGGTTTGGGGGTTGACGACATGGTAAGATTGAGTGCAGAGCAGAAGGATCACGGTCTGGAGTTTAATATCTATGCTTGGGGTTTAAGGGTTTGGGATACTTACGACTAACGACAGCCCAGATGTGCTTCCGAAGAAATCCCCCGGGCTTCCTGAGCTATTGGCAGCCCTCCTCTATAGGGACACCTTATCAGGTTTGTTGTTTTTGAACGTCCTTTTTCCGTTATCAGAGGTTTAGGGTTTAGGGTTCTCGAAACCAATGCAAGTTCAATGCCACAGTATTATGCTTGGTCATTCAAGTGGGACTCTTCTGCAGCATACTGCGGGTAATTATGGTACTTGCACTATAGACTGGTTATTGGTGGCGAACAGCACCAGTGCCAGAATTCGGAAGAGGCCCGCAAGTGTAGCTGTAAAAGAACAGAGTGCTAGAGTCTGCATGCATGGCGTCGAAAGCTGACTTCGGCACGCTGAAAGCAGTCCAACAAAAGCCGGGAACGCCCCATCATCACACGATTGCGCATGACGTCGTCCATGGTGGCCGCCATGCCAACCTCGACTCCAACAGGTACAACAGAGGGCTTCATAACCATGTTCAACATTATGATAACATTTGTAAGATCGCCATCATACTATCACTGTCACACTACTGCTGATAAGGAAGAGAGGACGTTGCAATGGCAGAGGTGGTGGCGGTCGTGGTGGTGGTGGTGGTGGTGGTGGTGGTGGTGGTGGTGGTGGCGAGATAGCAGCGAAACCAGACTTCTAAAGTTGTCACCACCCTTTTACGTAGTGTGTCTCAGAAACATGAGATTCTAAGCGAAGTTCGAGTCACAGTTAACATGGATTCTAATGCGAGACCCTTGCAGACTCAAGTGAGCATCAAGCTACCGAAACGCTCAGGGATGGAGCAAAACCGAATGCGTGGCGCTAATGTCGAAACAGCAGCTCAACTTTCAACAGCACAAGACCAAGTGGTGCCTCGCCCCACGCGCCCCAGTGGATGGCGGTGCAAGGCTTGCCCATCGCCACACGGTGCCTTTCTGCACCAGAACATCTTAACAACACACAGATATGCCTTCATCAAGAGGCAAACATGGTATGGCTTGCAACATCACCAGACAGGAGCAGCAGCAGTTGCCGTAGCAGTAGCAGTGGTCGTTATCATCGGCGTCGTAGCAGCATCGACAGCAGTAGCAGCAACAAAGTCTCTGGACAGATCTTGGCAAAGCCTATATAACCACAAGCGACAGCCTCGATGACGGTCACTGGGAAGCATCTTGCCCTTCCGTTTTTAAAATCAGAAATATGCCGGTCTAGAAATCCTCTGGTTCCATTTCATAACGCCTGAGCCGCAGTGGAGGCCTTGAACCCCGAGCTAAAAGCCCCAAGCCCCAGAACTTTAAGCACAAGTGCTTCCAGGAACGAAGCCTGAAGCACCATAAAGGAACTAAGCTATCGACAAGGAGAATTCCGAACACCTTACTTAGCCTGTTGGCTCCCGAAAGGCATCCAACCTTCAAAACTATACTAAGTTGGAGCAATCCGAAAAATGTTAATTGTCGTTTTAAGCTTCTCAGTTTATTGTTACCCCTTTTGGAGAGGCCCTAAAAAAGGATTGTTGTGTATTCAGGCCCCTCTAAAGCCTATGCCGTTGAACCCTAAGGCCCATACTCCTAAACCCATAAACCCTAAAACACTAAACACTAAATTAGCAGACCTTTTTATAAACCCTAAATTATACCAAACCCTATAAATCCCTAATTAACCCTGAAATACCGATGCCTAAACCCTGAAATGCTGAAAGGTCCAGGTGAGCTCTTCTCGCCTTGCCAGACCGTCGAGGCAGGCGTTGGAAGCAGAGTAATTCACCTGCACTGAGGGCTTATAGGGCTTAGGACTTAGAGGTTTAGGGTTTAGGGGTTGAGTAGGGTTTGGGGTTGAAGGTTCAGGACGTCTGGTTCAGGGCTTTGCCTCGGGGTTTACGGCTCAGGGCTTCAGAGATTTGAGGCTCTTTGCAGCGGGCGCAGGGATTTCAGTCACCAGGTTTGAGGCGATGTGGCCTCTTGGCGCTCCTAGACTGACCCTCAATGCCACTAAGCCCGGACATCCCACAGGTTCAACCCTCCCAAAGCCAGTAAGCCCGAAGAGCCTCGGGCACGAGGTCAGGTTCAGGGCTGCTGGGGGCTCCCAAGAAGAGTTGAGAGCTCCTTTCCTTCGGTATTTAGAGTTTACAAAGGGTGAACGTAGGGTTTCGATATTATATATGCACATATATAAATGTATTATTTATATCTATTTACTATTCATACATAGGGGCTAGAATAGAAGGGTTCAGGTTCAGGGGTTCTTAGGATTCGGCTTTGTTGGTATGGTCATGGTACAAGGCCTAGGGATCGAGCTCACGACCCTGTGGTACTCGCCCAGGCCCTTAGGGGATCTCGAACATGGCTCGCGGTTCAGGATTTTGGGTTCATACAGGATTTAGAGTTTAGGGTTTAGCGTTTTGGTTTAGGGTTTAGGGTTTAGGGTTTAGGGCCCCTCGGCCCTCTAAAGCCCAAAGCCCGAAATCCCACACCGACGCTTGTTGAAGTATAGCGTGCAACGCCACCAACCCGAGACCCTGGCTGCACACCAAGTTCCACCCTTTTTAGGGTTGAACCTTAAGGGGGGCTGTAGGATTCTGGGGATCGGGCTTACAAGATTTAAGGATCTGAGGCCGAATTGGACACGGCAAACACCGGTGACCGCAGGCCTGCCCCATGTTTCCTTGCACGGCAGAGGTTTCAGTCTAGGGCTTTTCGGAGAGAGGCTCGCATCCGATTGTGGCAGGTGTCCGCTGAACCTCGAAAACGTCCTTAAACCTTCGAGCTTCTACTGTACACGGGAGTAGTCGAGGCTTTGGCTTTCGGGTTTTTGGGTGATGTGGGAGCAACAAACTCTGCAGCTACTCCCTCCGCTGTCGCCGGGACTGGGTGCACCACCGTAGGCAGACGTTGAGGAGAACCTCTGTCTTCAAAGCTTCTTTAGTAGGGTTAGGGTTTAGGATCTACATAGAATTTGGGCGTCTATTTAGGGTTCGGGTCTCAGGCTTAGGGTCTGTAGAGGGGGTAGTTAGGCTCTGGATCCAGCTCTGTCTGTCTGTTCTGCTTCCCTGAATCCGTCTATGATTCGTCTCCTGCCGCTCTGGCAGCGTCTCTCTCTGTAACCAGAACTTCTCCTCCCCGAGCCATGTCAGGCCCTGGTGTCTCCTTCTACATAGGAGCCTCAAAAAGAAGGGTTAGTTTAGGGCTTCAAAGTGTTTTAAAGGGTTTGGGGGCTCAGGGTTTAAGATCTCATTAATCGAATCCTTGAAAGGATGACCCCAACAATAACCCCACTACTGTGCAAAAGCCCTGCACATGTGTGGCGAAGAGGCGCCATCCTACGCGCTGCACGACGGCCGAATAATGTAGACCCATGAGGCCCATGATGAATAAGCCGTAATAAGCCCCTGCTGCTTAAGGGCCTGAACATGACATTAGGATTCGATTTTACAAGTTCAGCATGTACTGGGGTAGTTCTCTAAATTGGGGTCCCCTTCAGGGTCCTTATTGTAAGGGTGCCGAGCTATATTGGGGACCGAAAAAGGGGACCCTAATTTAGAGAACTACGGTACCCATTTGTGCAGTTCCGGAGTACCTAAGGCTTGTCTTGTTTGAGCGCCAGCATCGCCCAAGTCACCCTTAAGGCCTGACACCTAGAGAGTCGCAGGCACAATTTACAGCCCTCCAGAGCCTGAGTCGATCGCAGCAATCCGAAATAATTCGGCAGCACGATTCCTCGCCACCCTTATGCACTTCAAGCATAACCCCCCACGCGGCGGAAACATCCCGAAACCTTATCCTAACCCCCCAGTTACCTACTCTATAGGGTACTAGAGCCCCTAAGGCCCTATATAGTAGGCACCTTGAGGCAAAAAAATCCTTGCTGGGAAAAAAGGAGAACCTACAAAAAAGTAGGTTTGGGTAGGTTCAGGTAGGGTTACATTGCAAGCAGAGGCACACCCAGAAGAATCGGAGGTTCGGATTGCTGAACCTCTCCAGCCTTGGCTGGACATCTCTCTTTCCCCTTATAAGGCTCAAGACTCGCCCCAAAAACCCGACAAAAGTATGGCCTTTGGGTTTAGGGTTTAGGGGCTATCAAAATAGCCTCAAAAGCCCTACCTTATAGGGTGTAGTGGGGAGGAAGGCTTGCAGCTGGGGAACGGGATTTAGGGTTTGGGATTACAGCTCAGGGGGTTTCAAGGCTTAGTTGAAGGCTTGGTTTCTGGTTTTGGGTAGGGATGTGTATGGAGAGGTTGTGGGTCCTGACTTAAGGCGCAGGTATAATCTTGAATTTTGACCTAGGTGGCGGGCCTGGCGGGGCTCCGGTGTTTATGAACTGCGGGATGAACAGAATGCAAAGACAAACATGCGGAATCAGATGGCGCAGTACAGACTTCAGTAGAGCCGTGAACGTCGGACTCACAAACTGCAAACTTTGCATACCAGCTAGCTAGCTAGCAAACAAATCGCAACGTGATCGAGTCTTCCGCAGTGAGGACGGGTCGCGAAGCCATGATGCACACACATTAGCAGCGACATTCTGTATGGAGCGTAGAGACTTAATTAGAGAGACACTAGGTTTACAGCTCCCCTGCCTCGCACAAGTTACTGTAGCGGCTTATGGGTTTGACTAGAGTTCAGGCTTTATAAGTGCCTAAGAACTTTAACCCTAGAACCCTCCCATGTGTGCAGGAGCTTCGGAAACGAAAGAGCCAGCGAAACACCGAGTTACCCACCTCCACTGGAACTGAAAGCCCGTAACACTCAACACTCCCTGAAAGTCTGGCTGGCAAAACCCAAACGACAGACCTGAAAAGGGAGTCTGGACAAAATATGCCAAGCTGCGCGTCGTGCAGAAAGAGCGCTGCGCGATGCTTGGAGTCGTAGACCGCCTGTGCAGACGAAGCCCAAAATTCGAAAGCTCTGAATTCAACAACTCGAGGACTCGAGGATTGTGAACCCCATGAGCTATGCTTCATCGGCGCCCATGCCCGATTCTGCCTAATTAATTAAGCCTAGGCGTTTTACATTCACGGGGGTATCTCTTGTGTTTCGAGCCTGAGCGGCATTCGGGGCATCGAACCACCTTTCGGTTGCCTTTCAGCTTGCCCTCCAGGTGCCTACTTTAAGGGCTCTAGTACCCTATATAGTAGGTAATTGGGGGGTTGGGGTTTCAGCTTGCCCTATGCATCCCTGCCCGAAATTGAAACGCACCTCGAACTTCTCCCAGGTCTGGTTGGGCAGCATAGAGTCCTCGCAGGCATCAAGCTTTCTGGATGCTAGCCTCTGAGGCTTCGTGCATATCTTTCATGCATCCATGCGTGAAAAAAATCATAGATACCCAGGTATACCTGGAACCAAAAAGCTGCACCGGACCGGCCTGCAGGACACCTGCAGAGTGGATGAAGCCCGTCAGGTTCGGCGACACCTGCAAGGAATTAGAGGTTAAAGGCGAACCCTCGTGACTTTTGAGTGATTTAAAGCTTCGGGCTCAGCTTGTCGAATGGCGGCGGGGGTTCATGGCTCGGGAGCCAGCTTTGTTGACTCCCGTCACGCCCTGGTGTGGGGCTGGTGGTCTCGCTGGTGGGGAACCCTGTCGAGTTCCAAAAATTCGCGGGCGCTGGAAGCCACCAGAAGGCGGTTGACCGTTCCCAAAGCCCCCAAAACCCAAAACCCTAAACCTTATATAAACCCCTAAAGCCCTAAACCGCTGAACCCGTAAACCCTAAACCCCTAAATCCCGGTATTCCGGCTTAGGCCGGGCCTCCTGCACGAACTTGTCGACGGCCGCCTGGGAGCCTCATTCAGAGTTTTCAGACTCAGGGGGGCCCTTGTTGTGCGCATCCCTAAACCCTTTTGCTGCAGGAAACCCTGAAACCCTAAACCGTTAGTCCAGAAAACAAAACACAACAAAAGCTCATAAGCCATGATTTTCAAGAGAATTCATGCAATTCTGCACTTCTTTGATCCTGAGGATCCCTTTTGGAAGCCTTTCGGGTGGGGAAGTGCTGCCTTTTTCAGCGCACTGTGCTCCTTAGTGTGGGCCCAATGGCCCTAACTTCCGCTTCAAGTGCCAAACTCTTTAGCTTTAACTGAATCCCAAACCTTAACCGCCAAACCCTCAAACTTAACCCTAAACCCTAAACCCCAAGCCCCTAAACAACAAGTTGCACCCCATAAACCATCCAAGGTTTGAGAACCCGGCCCATGTCCATCTTGCCCTGCAACACGGAGACGCCCAGGGCATCTGCCTTGCTTTGGACCTCTGCAGACACGAGAATGGTTGAGGTTTAAGGTCCAGGGATAAGGAGTTTAGGGTTTGGGGAAGAGGGAGAGACCGGTTCCCCTGAAAAAAGCCATGGAATGATGAGTTTTGGTTGTCATGAGTTCAAGCCTTCATGTAAATATCAGCCTCCTTACTTAAGGGTCCAAAAATATTGTGCCCATATCGGATCGGGATTTATGAACCAAGCGGTTTGGGGCCCCGGCTTTAGGATCGCGGAGTGCATGATTTGGGACGGTGATTCAGGCTTTGGGCAGGAGGTGGCCTGTTGAGTACCCAGCATGTCCAGTCCAGATGGTTCCGCATTTTGTAGCATGTTGGTTGCAATTGCCTGGGTTCCTGGGTTCTCAGACCTAATTTTAAGTTACCATAACAAAGCAACCCTATTATTTGCTATAGATCCCGATTATGGCAACTTAAATTAAATTCCTTACCAAGAACCCAGGGCGCCCAAGGTCCGAAACCTTAACCAGAAACATGTGTGTGCAAGTATGTACTCCAACCAGAAAAATGAAGTGTGTGTGTGTGTCTGAGTATATGTATATATGTGTACATATATATATATATATATAGCTTTGTTTGTTCAATGTGGGAAACACATACGCTATTGTGGCGTTACCTTGACCTTACTCGCATAACTCGCCAGTGTGTACCCAAGCTGTTCTTATACATCCCACCAAGTCTGGACAGCCTTGTTCCACAGCGGGATGTTGAGGTCGCTGATTTTGGCCGATCGGGACATGAACCTCGCGAAGATACCAGAAACTAGCAGCGGGCTGAGTCGTTCATTCTTGGCTGGCGGACCCAGAGGCAGAGCTCGCAATGAGAGATATGCAAATTTCGTAACACAGGCTGTCCCGAATCATAAATTTAAAGTCTAAACCCTAAACTGTGTGCACGCAACCTCTTGCAAGTCAGACAGCCCCGGACTCTTCGCCACTAAGCCACAAAGCCAAAGATCCTAAACCATTGAGAGGACCCTCTATATGCTCGGCATCTTCCTTACTCTTCGGAGTATAGCGCGAACAGCAAGACAAAACAACAGTATAGAGCAAACACCTGCAGCAGGTCCCTCTTTACGGCTAGTCGTTGCAAGCCTGGGGCTCAGCATCTGGAGTCCCCAAAAAACCCCAACTACAACCCCAAACAAACTGCCGAACACCCCAATCTAAAAACTGATACAATCCGCATCGAGCTCCATCCTGAACCCCAAAAGCCCCAAACCCTAAACTCCTCAACCCTAAGTTCTTGGAGCCTTGAGCAAAGCTAGCTTATACGAGCCACAAGTAAGTCTAGACTTCCCTAAGTCCCATAAACCCTAAGCCCCAAATCCCACGCGAATCAACCCTGAGTCTGCGGCTGAATGGAGAAGCCGGGCTTGTACTTGCCACCTGGGCTTCATGTAGCGGCCGCAATCATGAAATAACAGGAATTTAAGAAGTGCGCATCATCATGCAATCAAGATAGGCAATCTAAGGGTCTCGATTTCTTCCGCCCCTTTACCATAGGTCCATAGGTCTTTCGGGGCTATGTAGCGCTTCGTTGGGAGCTTTGGCGATTCTGGGGGGTTCTCGGGCCGCTTCACCGGTCTACCCCACACTTCGAGGTCAGCTCGCAACAATCTGAGGCACGAGCCGCTGGCTTTCATCTGCTTCTCTGCCCGCTCCAGCAGCCAGGAGCCCATGACCTCGGGGCTCCAGAGGCTGATACTCCCGGATTCCCAGAGACTCCACTCCACAACCCCTAACTTAAGCACTTTCCCGAAGAAAAACTATAGGGACCACATATAAAGGCCCTGAGCATTCCTTAAGCTGCAGTCCAGTTACAAATACCCGAGTGGCAGGATTGTGACGGAAGCCGGTATTGTTTGTGTGGGCTTTTGTCCGATCGTCATGTCTCGGAATGCCATGATGGCTGTCTTTCAAATCACAGCCTCAGTATTCCGGCTTGTCGCGATTTAGATGCTGAAGCACGCTGGGGTTGGTGGACACGGCATCACCAACTTTTGCTAAGGTTTGGGGGGAGGGCGAATCGCGCCCTTTGGAGGCTTTCTGTGTCACGTCAACACCAGAAACGCCTTGGCAACTCTGAGATAGACGCGCGATAAGCGCCCGGCCAAAGGAAGCCACTGCAAAATTCTGAACTGAACCCTAGCCTTCACCCTCAACCCCCCTAAACCGGTAGTATACCACCCCAACGGACACTCAGCGCATAAACTCAACATTGCCCTAAACCTTCCAACTCCACGACCTCCAAACCCTAAACCTGTCTAAGATAGGGGCCTAAATAATTACTCATATTACTAGTTTAAGAGGTTCCTTATTATAAGTATACTATAATGGGTCCCCAAACCCTATTCTAAGTAAGGTCCCTACATTAAACCCTTATAGTAACCCTTAAAAGGAACCCTTTAAAGGAACCCTCCTCTAATTGTTAAGGCCCCTACAGTAACTCTTATGGAACCCTTTAAGGGGAACCCTATTCTTATTATTAAGGGCCCCAGATTAAACCCTTATAACAACCCTTTAAAGGAACCCTTAAAGGAACCCTACTCTAATTATTAAGGCCCCTACATTAAACCCTTATAGTAACCCTTATGAAACCCGTTAAAGGAACCCTTCTCTAATTACTATAACCTACATTAAACCCTTATAGTAACCGGCCCCTACATTAAACCGTAGCTCTTATGGAACCCTTTAAAGGAACACTACTCTAGTTGTTATTACCCCGAGATTAAACTCCAAAAAAACCTCCGACCTCAAAGCTACCAGGGCCCTGGCCAGACCCAAAGCGCCGTTACCGCCGGAGATGGCGATGATGCCCTCGCTGGGCACATCCTGGGAACCCAGAAGATTCAGGCTCTTTCTATATTGTACTCTATAATATGCTACTTCTCATATAACTCCTGTAATATATAGTTCTTTTTGTAGTAATTATGTTATGATCTATTGTATTATTCTATTCTATTAGGTTCTAGGGATTGGTCGGGGGATTTGTACGGGTTCTGCATGGGCTGTAGGGGTTTCGGGTTCCAGAAGTTCTGCTCTTTTGGGGTTCACCTCAAGCTGCCACAATCGACAACTCTCTGCAGTTCGTTTACGCTCTGCATTGGGGCTTAAGTGCGCGAAGAATATTCGAGCAGAACGGGTTGCGGACTTTCTTTATGGGCCTGTGGATTTTGGGGTGTAGGATGCCCCGAGCGGAACGATAAATTTCAGCGCTTATAGGCTTGAAGGGAATGGCACCTGCTCCTCACCGTCGTGAACGTTTGATTTCGATTTGCATGGACTGACCAAATCTGCTTCAAAAAAGGACAACTCCAAAGCAAAAACAAGAGCCTAGATCCTGAACGTCTATGAGACGCCGCAGCCTCACGCCATAAGCCATGGAAACTGCAGATAGCAAACCCCCGCACCTTCCTCGAACAAATTTAGGGTTTAGGGTTTAGGGGTTGCGGGTTCAGGTTAAAAAACCAGAAGACATAGCTGATTTCTCTATCGAAGCCCTGCTAAACCAAAACATGTCTGCTAAACAAAGAAACTGAAAAACTAAAGCAATCAAACACAACAGTAATGACTGCCTAAACCCTAAACCCTGAACCCTGAACCTTAAACCCTAAACACTAAACCATAACCCCTAAACCCTAAACGATAAACGCCCAAAGCCAAGGCCACGGCCCATGGCTTTGAGGCCTTCGTCTCGTACTCCCGCGACAGGAACTGCCTGTAGACAAAGCGCCTGGGAGTCTGGCGAAGGGGTTTGGGCGAAAAAGGGTGTGTGTGTATATATATATATATACATATATGCATATAAGCTGCATATATATATATACACATATACATATACATATGCTTTAGGGTTCAATGCAAGGAATCAAACAAAGGAGTCCAAAACCTCAACACATCTCAAGCCTTAACCCAAAAAACCACAAACAACCATGCCTGCTTCTGCGGGGTCTGCCTGAAAAAAGAGCCTCTGTGACCGCTCGGGCTCCCCGACCCATGCGGGCGGTCGTGGCGGATGCCCCGATAGATCGGGTAGGGCCAGCACTGCCTGACGGTGTTGACCTCAGGCGTAGACGGGAAGTTCCCGGTTGGGTTTAAGGCGGTGTTGAATAAGAGTTTGGGTTTAAAGTTTAGGGTTTGGGGTTCAAGGTTGGGTTTAGGGTGGTCTTGAAACAGCCATGAACATCCTGAACCGTACATCCCAAGCCTTCATGAACCCTTAAACCTCCAACCACAAGCTCAAGGCCCCAAGCAACAAGGGATTCTGGGCCCTTTGTCTGCGATTCGTCGTTTCGGGACGAGAAGTTGAGTGTAGTTTCGTGTCAACCCACCACGAAGTTCAGGGTGCTAGAGCTAGATCTGGGATCTGATTTGCAAGGCCTGTAAGATTATATCTTACGTGTTCCCAAGTACTGAACTTAGCTATCTTAATCTTCGGTTTGCGCGAGCTGTTTCGCGCGGTTGTAGAGTTTTTGCATACAGCCCAACGAACCTGTCGTTCTCACGGTCGAGCTTGCATCTGAGAAGAGGCGAAGTAGATACTGGTGATGATGAAAAAATCCTACGTTACTTTAGGGTCCTTGAGAATTATTGTATATTCCTTCTTGTGGGTAATGTAGGGTTTATATCATCAACCGTAGCAAAAGACTGGGAACCCCTCATTCCCAGCCCCTCTAAAAAAAACAAACTCAAATCACCGAGGCCGGGGCCCCGAAAGTGCCTAGCCTGATCCAATTTTTGTTTGGTCGTTTTGGTCTAGGTTTTAGGGTTTAGGGTTTAGGGTTTAGGGTTTAGGGTCTAGGGTTCAGGGTTCAAAATTTGGTTAGGTTTAGGTTTGGGGTTTAGGGTTTGGGGTTTAGGGCTTTGGGCGTCTAACACAGGGGCCTTGCTAAGTGGAATTGGGAATCGAATATAGGGGTAATAGGGGTTTAGGGTCTAGGGCCAGGGCTAGAACACAAGGGCCTTGCTAAGTAGAATTGGGCATCTAGGGGTAGTAGGGGTGCGGGGTCTAGGGCCTAGGGCAGGGCTGGAACACCAGGGCCTTGCTAATGAGAACAGGGAAGACAGGGCCCTCGACCATTGAAGCAGGGACCCTGTTACTAAGCATTCACACCTCTGTAGTAGGTGTGAGCCCTGTCAGCCCAATCTCATGCTTCATAGAGCCGGAGTTGATCCTCATATCCTAAGCCCTGTTCAATGGCCTGACATCTCGGCCTCAAATACTTCGAGCCGTGCTTTGCCCGAAGAATGACAATCTTCATTCTTGTGTCTCAAGGTTCAGTGATCTTCGCTCAGTCAATCCAAAGTTCCAGATTAGCCTCGAACAGGTTCGACACGGGCTGACACCCCTGATCCCGAAAATCGATGAAAGCGCGACCTCGCGAAGCCGTGTTGTAAGTTGCGGCTTCGCAGCCGTACCTACTTCCTTACGATCGCAGCCCCAACGTTCATAATCCGAAAGCCATATCCCAGCCTAAACAGCTCCGAGGACAAAGGTGGGATCATGTCCGGGCGGTCGAGATATTCCTCAGCCACGCTCCCACTCCGAGGAAGTTCTAAATACACAGGGGCCCCTCGAAAGGGGGCCTCTGAGTTCCAAGGAATCCATGGATTTAGGGTTTAGTTTAGAGTTTAGTGTTTCGGGTTTAGGGTTTAGGATTTCTACCATGGAGTTAAAGTAATCGGCTACAGGGCTGCGGCGTCTATATAGGGTTATATGGATTACGTGTGTGACTATCAGACCGCGAACTTCTGCCTACTGTCCTTTGCTACAACATCGGACCACAGGAAGTGGACTTGGCTGTAGGGCTTGAGATCATGGGTCCACAAAGGTTCAGAATACATCAGCACATGCGCCTGGCATCCATCAGAATACGTGTAGGCTTGGTGCAGAGAAGTCTTTCACATCTAATCATGTCGGAACTTGGGAAGTCGCAAGAACTCGACTCCTGAGCATGTTCGGAAAAGCTGGAGGCAACTCCACAGAAGTGGAGGCTGAAGACAATACTGCTGCTGCCCACGATGGTGCTACTCATCGCCCTCCACTAACCGACATGGCTGTCTTGGCCGTCTCAACCCCTGAAAGCAGAACCCACTCTCCCTGAGTCTCGGACGACATCGATGACCTGTGGCTTCGTGTCAGCCGGAGGTACTGCCATCCCGAAGCTGTGAACTTAAAACCCCGAGCAAACAAAAACTCACAAATCCACGTCCTAAGCGACGAAAGTAGAGGCCCTGAGGGCAGCAGCGCTCTTCTTCTCGGATATCTCCGACATGCACCCAAATCTCTGCAAGAACGTCGGTAAATTCTACCAACAACTGAGGTTCTAATTGCAAAATCGAAAAGGCCACCTCATATGCAATAGGCATTGTGAAACCTTAAACTCCTGACACCACTCAGTCATAAACTGTACACATGCCTTAACTCAAGACAAAACGCCGAATCCCAAACAATAACCCTAATCTCCATAAATCCAACGCCTAAGCTCCAAAATCTCATCTTCAAAATTCAGCCTTCCCTAACCCTTCGACAAAAACTCGAGTCCATCAAAACCTCACGCTTGCTTCTCAAAACCCCGAAAGCCTAAGCTCCCAAATCTAGATCTCCAACAAACCCCTCCGAAGTCGTGCAGTACTTTGCCCGACCCCCACAACCCCCGCCCCGGTAACACCCGCAAACATTCCTCTGCCCCCCTTCCAGGCAGGACCTGTATGGGGATGCCCAGCTCTTGCCGCGCGGTGTTCATCATGCCAAAGATAGTGGCCTCGTTGGTGGGGTGGTGGCTTCAAGGCGTTAAGCTTGCATGTCCCAGATTAGAATGGCGGGGGTGCATTCACCAGGAATCTTCACTTGCTGTGAAGAGTATACTTGGGTCACTTGAGAGGGTCCACTGCAAAACTGCTTCTGCATGCTGTGCGAACAGAGACATCGCTTTCGGGCATCAGGTGAAATGCAAACGCGTCCACTGAGGAAGAGACTCCCGACACGATGCTCAAACCTCAGGAAGCCGGCCCCGTGCCATCCTCTGAGCTTTATGCTCAAAGTGCAGCAGACGAGTGTGTTAAGACTCTGCAAAGTATATCAAACCGAAGGTGACTGAGGTGATGTCATTGCAATAAGGTGACTATGGTGGTGATGATGGTGGCGATCGTATTCCTTTTCTGCTGCTGTTAACGCGCACTGTTGCGGCTTAATATCACTACACTTTTCAGAGTGATGAGTCTGATCTCGCCGATGCCATCTGAATCGCAATACGGCCAGAAAATTGCCAAGGTCGCTTCTCAAGCTGCAAAGCCAAACTGCTACGTCTAGAACAGCTGAAATATTCACATACCTTACAGTTTACATGATTGTATAATGGATAGAGCGAACCTGCGGGGTATAATGTTAATTACTAACGATCAAGGCTCGTATGTTGTCTTCCTGTAGAGCAGGACACGCAGGTTTGCACAACCCGACTGAGCTTCCGACCGCGCTGCTTGTGTGAAGCTTCCTCCACTGTGAAGGTGTCCTTGGCTGGGACAACTGGGTCTCATTTGAGATTTATGTTTTCGGGAGGCTCGGAAGGCGTGGTCTCGATTTAGAGGTTTCTTTTGGGGATTGAGGGTGTTGAAGGCGTAGGCGGCTTAAGGTTTCAAGGCTTAGGGCGGTTTAGGGCATTTGTAAGATTGTCGGGGTTGGTGGGATGTTGAGGTTTCGAGTCCGGTATCATGCACCATCTGCCGCGGCATGGCTCACATCAATTTTTGCTGAGGGACATGAGTGAGCACCGCCAACCGCTGCACGCAGCCCTCCTGGCATCCGTCAGTACAATCACCGGCTGTTGAATGTGGGGGATAGTTCTCGAGAGAGCTCGGAAACAAGCTGATTGACTTAAATGTTGAAGGAGTAGTAATGCTACAGCAAATCTCCTGAAATCCAAAACATAGTCTCTTTACAAGAGGCATTGCTATCAACATGGCAAGAACCAGTGTGGAACTACCGAAGGTAATGAACAAATGCAATCTTAGTGTCTGCGTTGGAACTTGGGAAATCTTAAAATCCCTGAAGCCCTTCAAGTTCGTGGCACATTCAAGTTGAGAATCTTTGGTCTTGGAGGGTGAATGGGCATCTAGATGTCGCAGGAGAGGGTAGTTTGGGGGTTAGTGGAAGAGCAACGGTTTACCATGCACACCCTTAGTGCTAAAACACAAAGAGCAACGGGCTCTAGGGTTATCCAGGGTTATACTGTAGCAAGCATGCCGGGTTCCACATGCTTCATCATCGACTGAAGCAAGAGGAAGAGGAACTTGTCCACTGCCGACTGCTGCGCGATGACGTCTGCAGTGCTGTTGCCTCGGTGTCGGGTCTGTGGGGCCGGTTTGGAGATCAAAGGACGCAAGTTGCTCAGGTCGCTGAGACAAGCTAGATGGAAGGAAGTACGAAGGAACCGAAGGAACCTGGCAGACCTAGCAGGAACGAGGCAGAGTCTGCAATTTCCGCATGACAGCCTGCGTGAATAAACGTGGCTGGCAACATGGCAAACTTGTCTCGAAGAAGTGCAGTTGAAGCCGCATCCATCTTCCAAAAGCCAGCCCCAAAGCCCTACAACCCCGAACCCCAAACCCCTGTGACCTACAAGCTGTTACAGCAAAACTTAAAGCCCCAAGCCTGAACCCTCCAGCCCAGTACCCTGATCCCAAAAGCCCCGAACCCTAAACCCCAATCTCTTTAGTGGCATGTTCCGAGCATCCGGCTCTTCGGTGGATCTAATGGGCATCCCAGTACCAGAAGGTCCTCGCAAAGGCTACGCTGTAAGGTTAGAGTTGTCAGGCGTTACGACTGTGCTGCCTGAGCGTGTTTCTAACGCGAAGTCTTATGTAAGGTGTTACGCAGCGAGGGTGGGAGAAAGGCCAACCCCCAAACCTGCAATACCAGCTTCATTATAGAGGTTGCCCTCTGCTCGAAAGTGGCTGATGGGATGGCGGGAGGGGCTGGAGCACTGTGTGGCGACCTGCTTTGTGTCTATGCGAGTGTGGGTGGATCGTTTCGGGATTATGCAGCAAGCACCTACCTGAACCAAAGCTGCCCGGTGTGGCTGCGGGCATAATGACTGTAACTACATGCTGTATCTATGTCCCCTGAGGTACTCTTGCTGCGATGTTGGGTCATTTCGGCTTGTTCCATACACTGGTCGGGAGTCCAAACATGCAGCGCTCGTCTCCATAGAAATGGAGATGTACAGACCCAGAATTCCGACACAGCTGCTGAGTGCGTGGCATACTTTCCCTTCGACAGCAGTGTCTCGCAGTCCTCCTGCAAGGAACATGCAGAAGCACAAGGCGGCTTTTGAATAAAATTCTACGGGCCAAACCCCAAAACATAGCCCAACACCCCACAACCTTTTCAAGCCCCAACCACTAAACTCTTCTGACATCCCCAAATCCCGAATCCCCTACAAATCACAAGCCCTACAGAGGGTGATCCGCATCCTGAGTAAGCAACCGCGGAGGCTTGGTGATAACCTTCTTGGTTCCCACCTGGGCTGACATGTCTGGAGGCTCAAGACTCATGTTTCGATGTTTAATAGGTTCGAACATGCAAAGCGCTCAATGCGTTGTACACTTTGAGGCCTTTAGCCGAGAGGGAGGTGTTGTCGTGGGATCCTATTGTCCTACAGGCTCTTGGCCCCATGCGACAGCCGCACGTGGCTGGCAACAGCAACGAACTTTACGAACTGGGCGAGCAGTCAGGTGAATCGAGGGAACACTATCCAAGAGACTGAAGCCTCACACATGCCAGCAGTGACATCCTCATAGACAATAGACAACGCATGTATGATGGTACTTAAACCATGCCAAGCATATTGCTAGTGCCCCAACACGAAGCAGGATAGGGGATTCGGGCATGGGACAGCTGCTGCAATTCTAGCAAACAACTCCCAGAGAAAACAGAAAAACGTGGGTCTGACTGTCGGTGAACATCTGTAAGGCCCTCACTCGCCCCTCCGGCGCTTTCTCCAGGAGCCTGGCATAGAAAGATATGAAAAGGTTCACTGGAAGGTCACCGCAGTAGGAGCTGAATGGGAATCTGGCATCCCGGGCATCTCTTCAACTTCGGCTCTGACGGAATATTCAACAATGTTTCTCGGCTTCTCTTGCAAAAAACCCCGATCGGATACTTCGGCTAGACCCCAAGCCCTCAGGCGCTAATCCTCACCTGTATAGTTTGGTCTGGGGCTTCGACTCCAGATTTTTGCTGTCCCCAAAGGGTCCGAGGTACTGTTATGGGGGATACGGATCTTTTCTCAAATCATAAAAAGGATTCCCAACCTAGATTCGATAGTATACCATACAGGTATTTTGGACGCTTTGGGGGCTAGGGTCCAAGACGGTGGGATCGCGTTTCAAGGCTCAGGGTCAGGCAGCACTGAAAGGAAGATGCAGATCAAAACAAGTCTGCGGTACTTCTGACAAAGCCCTGCTTGGTCGGCGAAGACGAGAACGTCCTGATGACATCCATCTTCAAAAATTCGATTCTTGAATTATACAGTGGATGGCCAAATACAATAGACATAGGTAGCATCAGGATCCTACATTTCGGAGTATCAAGGCTCCTGTAAAGGGGGCAGTTGCGAGACCTGACGCTTCATGTGGCCCTTCTGCCTTTCAAACCCTATACTGCCCTACCCCTAAGTGTCCATGTGCCCAAATAGTATGTGTTTAGGCCTTAAAGTAGTCCCTATATAGGTACTTTGGGGCCAATGTGTGTGTATATATATATATACACACACATATATTTGCATTATATATAATATACGATAATATATATATATATATATATGCTACCCCCCCCCCCTCCAAAACCCACCCCAGAAGCCGAACCGATAAATAGAGAGAGAGAGAGAGAGAGAGTGTGTGTGCGTGTGTGTGTGTGTGTGGAAATCCTGTTTCTACGGAATTTGAGTTGTAACGAGCGAAGTTTCTGACATCGTATGCGGTAATTCACTTAGTTG